TAAATCTTGAAAAGTTTGAATATATAAACTTTATTATTATACATGTTATATATATATTTAAGCATTTTATAAAGGAGACATGATGGCATACAGTAAAATTGTGTGTACTGTAAGACAGTTGGTACAAATACACATCATGAACATTTTTTAATTCAAAAGAATATGATTAGAACTATTACAGGATGCAGAAGTAGAGATTCATGCTGAGAATTATTTAAGTACTTAAACAGTCTGCCATTCCAATTTTATACATATTATTGCTTCTCCTGTTTCTTATTTACCAGGATCAATTAATATTAAATATGGATGTCTATAACATGAATACTGTAGGGCACATGGTAGCATAGTTGGTTTGAGGCATTATGCCACAAGCTGGAAGGTCACGGGTTTGATTTGTGATGAAGCCATTGAATTTTTTCAATATACCTAATCCTTCCAGGTGCATGATTCCCCTGTGGACAACTCAGCCTCTAAAAGAAATAAGTATCTGCAATCTTCGTGGGGGTAAAGGGCAGCCAGCCTGTGTGTAAGGCTGAGAACCTCACCTCCATCTGTGAGCTAACCATCAAACAGATGTGGGAGCCTTGACATCTCAGAACCCCATGAGCCTTCACAGCCTGTTACAGGGATAGGTTTACCTTTTATAACATGAATACCAGACAAAAATATAACTTTCACCTACCTTCATCAGACTTATCACTATATCAAAAAGGAGTCTACTAGCATAAAAATGTTCCATAACTTGCCATAAAATTATATACATGCTAGTTCCTTATACGCTATAGAAGAGAACTTCACTGTAAACAGAGAATGATGTAAAATGTATGTTATATAAATTTTTAAGCTAAAATTGTCAGTACTATGAATGGAACTTATGACTTGTTCTGTATCTAAGGATTTTTGGATTGCTTAGGACTTAGAGAAAGAAAATAAACATAATCAGCTACTGGATTGTCACATAGCATATTTAGGAATGGTGGAGTTTGTATTTTAGAAAAAGACTATATATTATATAAAGGGCTGGGCCTATCTGATTTAAGTATTTGAGAAAAGAAAATTGAAGCTCTAAAGAAAACTATAAATAAGATGAAACTATGTAATTTATGTTTCTATAGATAACTTTTTCATAGACAGAGTATTCATATCAATTTTCAAGTTTATCCTGCTTTAAATGGTCTTTTGAAGCACGATGGTCAAATATTAATACTTGAAAATTTGCGAACTATGATGCGAAAGAAGCATAACTATGCATTTAGAGAGATTCATGAGGAGAAAAAAATATAATTTTTCGGTCTCCACTACAATATGAAAACTGGAAAGAAGTTGACAACCAAGAAATGTTAACAGCAAATGTAATATATTTCTTAATATTTCATTATTAAATCTTGAAAACAGCTTTCCATTAGTATATAACAAGATGGAAAATGTAACTAATAAATGGATAACTAAGGGTATAAGAATATTATGTAGACATAAAAGAACTTCATATAGCAAAGGTAAAATATGAAGTTGTCCCTGTGATAACAAATTAAGCACAACACTATGAAGGCGTATGGGGGACTGGATGTATAGAACTACATGTACTTGACCTTGGCATTAGTTAGAGGTGAGTAGTCAGCTTCATGCCCCAGACATTCTACCAACATGGAAAGAGCCCCTGGTATCCATTGCATAGGAGGCTGGGTAGGCCCCAGAGTCTGTCTGGACAACGTGGAAAAAAGAAAATTCTTGACTGTCAGGACTTGAACTCTGAACCTTCAGTCATGTAACACATAGGCAGTCACTATACTGACTGCGAATAGTACACTAACAAAATCAGGCGACAATAGGCTGAAATCATCATACTATAAGAAATACTGCACTATTCAGAAAATGTAATAAAAGAAGAGGAGAGACCACACTATTATAAATTGATAAGTAAATCAGAGGACAAAATACAGGGAGAATTTCAAGCAGATTGACAAGTTCGCAGCCCTGCCCTTTGCAGTGACCAATATGCTGAGGGATGCATGCAAGTTTTGCCACTGACTCAGCATTCTTGATGCCTGATAGCATTTGAAATGGTAAAGGTAAGGTAAAAGTAAAGCTATCCCTGTAACAGGCCAGAGAGGTCCACAGGATTGTCAGACGTTCAGGGTTCCACATTATGTAGATAATTGGCTCAAAGATGGCGGTAAGGTTTTCAGCCTTACACGGCGGCCACCCTCCACCCCCCAGGAATATTCCTGGTACATATTTCTGTTAGAGGCTGAGTCAAAGACAGGCCCATAGTGCAGTTAGAATGAATAGGTCAATTGACAAAGTCCACCACATTGAGACTCGACCCCGAAACCGTCTGGCTTGTAGCATAGTGCCTCAACCAACTACGCTACCATGTACCCCTATATATGAAAGGGCTATTCGGAAAATAACCTCCTGTGAGTGGCCAACAAAACAAGCAATGAGGAAAAAATGATTACAGACAAAAAAATACATACATACCGAAGCTACCTCTCAACGTTGTCACCACCAGAACTGAGGCACGTGCCATATAAGGGAACAAGTTTCTCCAAGCCTGTGCCAAAGAAATCCGCCGCCTGTGAGCTCAGCCACATTTCATATCATGAAACACTACAAAAACTGCACAAGGCCTTACAGAACAAAGGATATTGAATGACATCTGCTGTAGTTCTTCTCCATGATAACACACACGCACGCACGCACACACACTCTCTCTCTCTCTCACACTCTCTAGCACTTCTGGACCATTTTGAATGGGAATTGTTAGACTACCCTCCTTACAGCCCTAATCTCAATCAAAGAACCTACCACCTGCTTATCTATCTGAAGAACTAGGTGAGATCACAGTGCTTCAGCCATAATGAGCAGCTGATGAAACAGGTCAACATGTGGCTGAGCTACAGCCAGACTTCCCCAACACAGCGAAACAAAAAGCCAATCCCTGATACCACAAGGGACCCAATTCCAGGGGCGACGATGTAGAGGGAGCAGATTAAATATGTAGATATTTCCTTTGTATAAAATAGCATTCTTTCAAATTGCTTGCTTTGCCAACAGCTCAGCAGACGCTACCTTCTGATCAGGCCTCATACTTTGCAAGACCCATACTGTTTATGAATGCCAGACTGTCATACATGCCACTGTGTTCATTGTCAAGGATGCAGTGAAATGTGTGACATTCATTATATATCAGGAACAGTACAGAGTGCACTACACTGCAGACAATTGGGTGGCAGATCACCACACAACAAATGTCTGCCTGTTAAGTGAGTGTGATAAATCTGAAGATGTGACCATATCTTTCTCTCTTCTGATGCTGCTGAGGACTGCCACACCTGAACAGACACTCTCACTGCTCACAATCCGCTGCTTTGTGTTGGTCCCCTTGTCTTGCCAAGAAAGCTCATTAGTGCAAAGATAGGCATGGACACCACTGCCCATGACTTCAGCTGATACCTGGTCTCCATGCAAAATGTCTTCCTTAGCAATGGCACTGGTAGCCTCACTTCTGAACTGAGAAGTATGCCCCAGGAACCTGCAAAAGACAACAGACCTCCCTACCTTATGGATGTTGCAGACTTTCTATATCAACCCTCAACTTGTTATCATTATATCAAAAAGGCTCATTATATGGACATTGAAATATTCAATTGTCTCCCACAAAATTTGAAGCAATTATATAAAGATATTAAGCGGTTTAAATTAAAACTAAAAGAATTCTTGAGTTGTCACCCATTTTATACTGTGGGTGAATTTTTTGTATATACTAGTTGGCAAGATTAATTGTATTCTGGTTCTACTCTTATGTGTTGACTTAGTTCTTTGTACTACTTATTTATTTAATATGACTTTTCCACATCCTAAAGTATTGGTTTTTATGGAAATAATAGATGAGTAATGAAAATGAAAAAAAGAGCTTGTACTGACGCCTGAAACTATTCAGAATTCTATAATAAGATGTCTTGGTTCTGCGTTGTTTTTGTAAACTGGGGGAGTTTTGTTGTATATATAGCTGATATGTTCTCTTTTTATTTGTTTTATATTATGAATGCCTTGACCTGTCACCCATTTTATACTGTGGATGAATTTTTGTATATACCAGTCAGTAAGATTAATTGTATTCTGGTTCTATTCTTATGTCTTGACTTAGCTCTTTGTACTACTTATTTATTTAATATGACTTTTCCACATCCTAAAGTATTGGTTTTTATGGAAATAATAGTTGAGTAATAAAATGAAAAAAAGAGCTTGTACTGACGCCTGAAAGCTTTGAGAGTTTCCCTGCTGAAAAGTGACAAAGCCACTTCTAAAACACTACAAAATTAGCTGAGTATCTATAAAAACCAACACAACCCATAGGAACTGTGAGCTCACTGAATATAGAAATCCAATCAGCTCACTAAACTTACATCATCATCAGTTTGGCCATGATAAAACCTAAAAATGTATCAGTGCGATCCCCTAATTCAGAAAATTACCAGTTAGGCTGCAACAAAAACCTTTAGCAAAAATTTCAATATTCATTGTTGCAGGATACCGTTGTCATCTACCTTAACTGCTGTAAGTTTTTTGCCTTGTCTATATCGCTGTCTTGTCATACGGAATTCCAAAGCGGCATGATGAGGCAGCCTTCTAACAACCCTTTTTATTTGTCAATGAGGGAAATTATCTTGTAGATCTCTACATATTATATTCATAAATGAGAGCTTGTTTATGATTTTTCAACAGCTGTCAGCATGAGCCATCTGTTCCCACTTAACAGTTAGTCAGCAGTGTGGTGTTGCATGGCATGGCTCGATACACTTTAGAGCAACGCATATTTCTGCATCACACCTATGTGAAATACAGATATGCTAGAAAACGTCAGTGAAAATTTTGGGATGAAAGTTCACAACAGACAAAATTCATAATTTAGTGAATAAACTCAGAACAACAGGACTCTTAAGAAACAACAGAATAATTAAAAGGCAAAATCTGTTAAAAGCATATACATGCAAATTTATTCTGCAACTGCAAAATATTTTGTACACCACTTTGAAAAATGTAGTCAAAATTTTTTCTGATCCTCCATAACATCACTTCCATGCAGGCCCTTGCATCCTCAGAACTGCAATGTCCAGATGAATCCTGCTGAATCTCTCTCTCCAAGAACTCGCTTACGAGTGACTTCAGGGACTAGCGATAAGGAAGACCATTAGTGAGAGGAAATACTACAGATGTGTCAACCACACTGCCATGGATAATGCGCAGGGCAAGAAGGCCATTCTCTAATCCATGACCCACAAGTATAGTGTCGGCATTTATGAACCCCATTTAATCATTCTAGACATCCCGTAACGATTTCGTGACATTGTCACTGAGATCACGTGCCGTGATTCCTGAAAACCTTGTGTTATATTCTATAATGTCACTCTCTGGCTTCACCAAACCATCGTACACGAGATGACCATCGGAGGCCACCACAGTCACTCTAATTTGATTTAATTAGCTCAGTGCCACATGCTGTGTAACACATCTCACAGTCTACTGCATAAATACCAAAATTCCCATTACAGGGAAAAGTCTTACGAACACGAGTTTGAATATAACCATCAAGTGCATCATTCTCTCCAGGGCCAATGCCATTCCACACACGTAATTCTCCCACACTACACCGACATGAACTTGGACTACCTCCACAGCAACTGTACTGTCTTCTAGTCCTCACAGTATGGACGGCAACGACCTTGTCAGGCTGGGGCGCCACTGCCTTCTCTAACTTGGCCCACTGATGAATACATTTTTCTTGAGTTGCGTATTTCCCATTGTACACGAGATGACCATCGGAGGCCACCACAGTCACTCTAATTTGATTTAATTAGCTCAGTGCCACATGCTGTGTAACACATCTCACAGTCTACTGCATAAATACCAAAATTCCCATTACAGGGAAAAGTCTTACGAACACGAGTTTGAATATAACCATCAAGTGCATCATTCTCTCCAGGGCCAATGCCATTCCACACATGTAATTCTCCCAGACTACACCGACATGAACTTTGACTACCTCCATAGCAACTGTACTGTCTTCTAGTTCTCACAGCATGGATGGCAACGACCTTGTCAGGCTGGGGCGCCACTGCCTTCTCTAACTTGGCCCACTGATGAATACATTTTTCTTGAGTCGCGTATTTCCCATCGTACACAAGATGACCATCGAAGGCCACCACAGTCACTCTAATTTGATTTAATTAGTTCAGTGCCACGTGCTGTGTAACACATCTCACAGTCTACTGCATAAATACCAAAATTCCCATTACAGGGAAAAGTCTTACGAACACGAGTTTGAACATAACCATCAAGTGCGTCATTCTCTCCAGGGACAATGCCATTCCACACATGTAATTCTCCCACACTACACCGACATGAACTTCGACTACCTCCACAGCTGTCTTCTAGTTCTCACAGCACCGACGGCAATGACCTTGTGGGGCTGGGGCGCCACTGCCTTCTCTAACTTGCCCCAGTGATAAATAAATTTTTCTTGAGTCACATATTTCCCGTCCATTGTTAAATAGAAACCACGACCACAGCGGGTACACTTCTTCTCACTAGTATCACTCAACTGCTGATCTTCGCCCTCGCTCTTCAGGGTACCGTTTGATGATTTACTGTCCTCCTCTTTCGTAACGCCTTGAAATTTCACACTTCAGACTCTGATAGAACCTTCACACCCTTCACACAGCCCTCCTTCGTAGCCAGGGGGGTGTAACTGCCATAGGGGAGAGGGAAACATGCAGACCAGCCATCTAAGAACATTTACATGAACTACGTAGTCTGGTAATGACTGGAATCGATCATTATACACCTATCGCATTCAATCAAATCGCGTAAGTGTGAGCCAATCAGAGGATCTTAAATTTCCGTTGGACGATTTTTGTCTCTTCGGCGGGGGGTTCCCACAGTAAAACGAGTAAAACTGCATAGCTTGTGGAAGTATATGTGCGCCATTGAGGTATGTCGTGCAATTAATTAGATTAATTAATAAGCAAGGACTTTGATTTGATGTAATGAAACGAGAGTCCACATTTACGCATGAATTTACATCTGTGTGTTACTTATGTGAATGGATTATGCTTACTACGCCCAGTGAAATTAGAAACAAACATGAAGTCAGTGTTACTATGATACGTCAGCCAAAATGTATTTCTGTATTTTAAACATCTTTCGGTGTAGCCTGAAGAAGGACCGTAGAATCTTAA